CAAATAGTAAGTTCACTTCGTTTTTGAGTTTCACAATAAATGTTAACTCCATTTTTGTTAAATATTCACAATCTGATTCAAGAGATGAGTGTAAAAAGTACTGGACCTTAGCCAGTCACACTGCATGTAAGTAGCACAGTGAGCAGTATGACTATTACACGAAGCTGTGACAGCGCAGCTGCTTTGTGTCTACATCCTGCTTCCTGGATAGTAATTGGTTAAAGCTGAATGCCTACATTTGAAAATCCCTTGAAGCTAGCAAAATTAGCAACAGTGGTCGGAGAACTGAGTCAATATGCCATTCACCGCTGCTATAAATTTAGCTTTCTTTTTGAGCAGCCATTCAGAGGCAAAGTTACAACTAAAACATTCTGGAAAAAAGCAACACTGAAAATAAAATCAGGTAAATAAACATTTACTAAAGTTAAAAAGTCAATAGTTGTCAGGCATGGCTAATCAAAGGCTGGTACTTGTACTGCTTCTTGTCCAAATTTTGTTGAATAATTGACCTCCTGCCAAAAGGTGATCGTGTGGGTTAGTTTTGTTGGAAAATTATTCTACATTTGTTCTCATTACTATCTTCTCCTGCATCACAATCACCTCTGACTTGCCTGTTTTGGTAAACCCAAAAGAGTTCATTTTGTTTATTGCACTAAGCTCAAACTTCTCTATTTTTGGCAGTGCTTGTGTAACTTCCTTCCTCTTGAAATTAACACTACGTTAGTTGTACTTAATTCTCTCGAAGGGAGTTTGAGTGTTTTTCAGTGTAACTGCGCTGTGAGTGGACCGATCCGTGGGTCACTGCATGAGGTTGAGTCCAGATGCCTTCCTGTGTGAGATCAGCCTGGTATAAATGTTCCACTGTGAGAAAAACGGTCGACTGCAGCCGAAGCTGCCATCTGACAAACCCTTTTTCCATCCTTTTCACTTCTCTCCTCAAATGTATGACCTTAAAACTGTAAGAAGGAGCACGTACTGACAGAGATGACAGGCCGTATGCAGGGCTGTAAAATATGCATTTGCCTCTTACAGATTTCACTTTTACGTTTTGTGAAAAACAAACGTCCCCCTGTTGTTACATCATAAATTAACTGATTAACTACAGATACATTCAATCAATTAGAATATTATTGAAAAGTTTAACCAACTCATTTCACTAAATGAAACGTGTGGATGTTTTCAAGCCTTTATTTCTGTCAGTTATGATGATTTTTCCACCTACAGAAAATGAAAATGTAATTGAAAATTAGAATTGCATTACACATTTTTAATACAGAAATGTGAACTTGATGAAAGTGGTGTTTGATTCCTGCTTGTAGGTTCTTGTTTTTAAACTGTATTTTAAGTCTTATAAACAAACCTCTTTGGAACACAGATTCTAGATTTATTGAAAATGACTAAATTTCCTCAGTCAAGTCGGTGCTCACTATTCAACAATAAGACAGGGATACTGGGCAAAAAATAGCATCATGGAAGAGTTTCAAGACCAAAACCACTGCTGGCTAAAAATAACACACAAATGACACATTTGGCAAAAAACAAAAAATACATCTTGGTTATCCTTAAAGATTCTAGGGAATAAAATCTGCTGGACTGGCGAGACAAAAGTGCACCCTGTTAAATCTGTTCGAAAACTAACATTTCAGAATCAGAACAACGTGACTATCTGGGATTGTGTCGGGGCCTGTCTATTTTGTCACAATTGATCGTTGATGGCCTTAATTTCAGCCAAATGTGCAACAGGACCGTGTTTGTTTAGACCGCTTTTCTTCTAGAAAACCACATTTTTCATTAACTTAGTCTATATTTGTCTTGTACTGAGTTAGTGTAATGATCTGAAACATTTAAGTGAGAATAAAAACAAAAACAAAAAAAGCTTTAATAGGGCAAATTCCATCACAGGACTGTATTCTGGGAGCTCCTGCTCACCGAAATTGATTACGTAATCAAATGGAAAGGACATGAAATGCCTCCGGGCTGCAACAAATGAATATTTTCATTGTTGGCTGTTGATAAAACTGTGAGAACATACGAAATGGTAACCACAGCTGCTTCTCAGTGCATTCTTTAACTGATATTCCATGTTTTTTTTTTTTAAAGGGGAGACAGAAATGAGTCAAGGTGTTGTTGAAAATAAACGTGAAAACTTATGGAAGATTAATAGGCTGGTTGAGGGGAAGGCGAAACAGAAAGTCTATAAGTGGACAAACAGACCACTCTACGCTCAAGTAGACACTTGTGGCAAAGAGCTGACAAACAGGGTGTCTGGATATTCATGTTGAGCCCATCCATGTTTGAGAATGAGCAGATGAAGCTTTGGTTTATAGAACGTAGCATTAGAAGAGACATTTGGTCAAACTTGTCCAATGCTAAGATTGGTTGTTGAGTACAACATGTCTTCTAATTCAGGTCTCTGTGTGTGTAACTGAGATACAGTAGTTTCTTAACTTTTTAATAACATAGAACAGATAGTTTTATTGTCTTCATAACAATGGCTGTCTGGTTGTCAGAAAGGTCCTTATTTTAGCTCACGTTGTTTTCTCTACACTTTATCCAACAGTTTTGTTAATGAAGCAAACATTTAGACTAACGACATGGCTGTCACAAGGATAAAAACATACAGGCTTGATAATTTATCATTCCTTCCGGTAGCCTAGTGTGTACCACATGGTTAGGCACCCACAAGAAAATCCCTTCAAATAAGACACATTTTTCTGTCTGGTGTGTGTGTGCAACCCCTAATATAACCCACCAATTTCAACAGCTCATGAAACAGTAGTGAAAAAATTATTTTGAGACATCCATAAAGAAGGAAGAGCAGTAGTTGGGCTCTGTCGGAGGTGACGGGCAGAAAGAGATGGGTTCTAGGACAGGAGATGTCCTCTGAAGAGCTGGATCTTCAAGAGTTTCTTGAAGCTTGACAGACTTTTCTTGCAGTGCTCAGTCATTTCACCAGCATGCAATAAATAATACATGCAAAGAATCTAGCTGTGTGTAGACACTGCTAGCCAAAAACCCTTCATAACCAGAGTGGCTAGTCGTGATTAGTAGAGACATATCCCTAAAGACTTGTAGCTGTAATTGCAGTCGTGGTTCTAAATAGTATTCGCTCAACAAAGGTGCATACAAATAAATTTCCACAGTCTTCAGGATTATTTTTGTAAAAAGAATTGAAAACCATTTGTAATTGTCCTTGACATATTGATTTTGAAAGTATTTCTATAACTTCAGTTGTGTCTGATTTCCAATTACAAAAACCTTAATCATTCTCAGATTCTCAGATGTTGTCGTCTCATTGTTAGACAGGTGTTGGTTTGATTACATAAAAAACAAACTGGCTTGAGCACACCTCATACCAAGACAAGATGCAGCAAGACCTGGCTCTAAGTCTGTAAAACTTACTTGTTGCTCAGGCATTTCATCCGACTGACATTCCTGGTGTGACTCAACCACTGCTTCTGCTTAGCTCATCTACTTCCTCCCTTTTGTTCCTCGGTTTGGTACACTGCCACTGTGGTGGTGTTAAATTAGACCAAAATAGGAGAAGCAGAAATGGCAGCCAGATGTTATTTTCTGATGGCACTGGCAGCCATCTGTTCTAACTGATTTATCTGCTGTTTTTTCTTCATGTTTTTGCTGGTGTATCTTTGTTGCAGACTTTTTCTTTTCAACAGAGTTACTCCATTGTTTATTATGCCAATTCAAATGCCAGCAGGCCAATAATCCTTAACTCTCTGTTACAATGAGTATTGTTTACTTCTGCATCAATGGGTGTCACTCTTTACGGCTCCAACAAACCATTTACTGAAATATTGTTTTATATTTTTTAAGTAGGGAGATATAAGCTACATTTTTGTTGGTGTGAACAGAAAAATATCTACGGAGAGTGTTGAGTAGAAACAGTATATTGAAAACAAAAACAATCTGTTTCTAAATAGATGGTTATCAGCCTGCAAGATATTTGCACATAGTGTACAACGCAACATGCCAATGTTTATGTTCTCTGAATAACAACACAGCCATAACACATCTTGCAGAATCTGACCTAGATGCGTCTTCATTGTTCAGTCTCGGTCCACAACAAAGAGATCCATTCAGCATTGCTGTCTGAAGGAACTCCTGATCATGGAGACAGAGTTCAATCATCAGCTGTTCATAAAACCCAAAAGTTTCAGTACGTCACACTCATGTTTATATATGGGCAGATAAGCGTGAGCTGGAAGTTGTTGTGCTGTGTGCCAGTTAGTCGTGTATGTAGAGCGACCTGTTGGTTCCACTTTCTGTGTGTGTGTGTTTTACATCCTCAAATTTCCTTTGTGGTGCAGTTAGTCGGTAGTAGAGTGAGGTAAAGTTTATAGATCTTAAAGACAGAGCAGGATCTATTTTGAGCAAAGTCTGCTGCTCTCTTCACATGCAAAAACAGTAGTACTCTTAACTTATTAAAGGTCAAAATACAAAAATGTCTGGATGATGATGTGTTAAATATTCTGCTCTACAATTTCTTGTTCTGTATAAATCACAAGTGGAACATGGGGAAGCTAACACGCATGGGAAACTTTTGTCAGATGAGGAACAGACACACTCCCAAGAAAGGGCAAAGCCAGTTTTGTGACGAAAGGTCTAATTTGGCTTCTCTTAATACAAGACAATATTGCAAAAGCTCTTTGATTCCAGGAAATCATAAGTCTTTACAGGTTGGCAAGTTAGTGCAGAGTGAGGTGAGGCAACAGGATTACTGCCCCCTACAGGTCAGTTTTGTGCTCAAATTGCAAAGCCCCCCACTTTGACTCATCTGTTGTTTTTACCAGCCACATCATAAAGTCAGCTGCATTTGTAAAAGCTCCACTCACACTTTGTAAAGGTTTAATAATTCATCCTAAAGTCCATAGTTTATTGTGGATATTTCAGAAAACCTTTACTTTTCCTCAACTGAATGAATATGTGTTCTGCTCTTCCACAGTCCCTACATTCAATGCTTTCTTTTTGTGTCTCTGTTGTAGGTCCCTGAGATCATCAGTACGTTGAGGCAGGCTGGCAAAAGCTCAGCACGCAACAATGACATCAGCCCTGACTCCATAAAGACGTCCACGAGTTCAGAAGGCAGTGATTCTTCAGAAACATGCCTCTCCTCAGTCTCTGCTACATCAAACTCCACCGCTCCCACCTCTGCTGTGTCTCCAACAATGTTTGCTAAAAAGTTTGAGGTACTTTTCTGCGGCAGAGTGAGTGTTGCTCACAAGAAAGCCCCGCCCGCCTTAATAGATGAGTGTATCGAGAAGTTCAGTCAGCTGCATGGCTCAGGGACGACAGATAAGGGAGGTGGGGGTTTGGTGGATGGGCTCAGGAGGGCGTTTACCTTCCCATCCTCTGGACTGGGGAATGGCTCTGTTCGGAACGGTACAACGGGAAGCGCCACCACTGGGTCAAGCGCTGCTCTGTTTAAGAGAGACTCCAGCTTCCCAAACCTGCACCTCGATGAGAACGGCCTTTGTCCAGAAATTTCCAACAACAACACTACAGATTCGATCACCTGCTCGACGACGGTGCAGCCGACCAGCCTGCAGGAGAACCGGACCATGCTGTTTACGGTAATGAATTATCCCATAAAATCGCACTCATTGAATATTGTTGATCATGGTGGATGCTTTGTGATCAATTATTGTTTTTCCACCTGTAAAATAAAATTAGGAAAAATTATTATTTTTAAAAAAACTTTTAAAGCTTGTAATTATTAAGAAGAAGCTTTTGCTCCACAAAAGTCAGAAATTCTGACTAAAATGAGTTTTTTGTGTTCCTTGGTAGAAATGGTGGATGAAAAAGCTGCGGAAATAATGCACTCCCCTCTTGTTGATCCACTTGTATCGACTGTTTTAATTTTATAAACCTGGGAACAGAGAATCATTTCACCATTGGATTCAGCTGATTCATATCTTTAGATACTATAATTGCCAACATTAACAATATATATATTCTGTCTATTTTCTAGATTAATTAAAAATGTAGTTGTCATTACAAAATGTCTTTTGTAGAATAAATATACAAATATATATTTTAAATGGCCTGTAATAAAAAGAAGAGTCGAATTAAAAAGCACAGCAGCATATTTCCTTCACTGACTAAATGAGGTAATTTTCATTGAGCCAACTTAATATTATATTGGGAAATATGATATTTCCAAATATAATATATTGGGAAATGTAATATATTTCCCAATATATTATTTTTTATATAGATTATATCAATGTTTGAATTTGGATTATTTGTTTTGAATGTGTCAGATTATAGGCAGAAAACACAAGCTATTGTTGTGGTTCACAACTGTTGATTGTGAAATTTTAAGACCTTAAATATCTCAGTTTTAATGTTGCTGATGAAAAAAGCAACATGTTTCTAGTTTTCTAAGTTGACTCCATACCTGCCATATGCTTGCAACACGTTTCTGAGAGGATTTTCGTAACATTTAAGAGTTTGGACTTGATAGAAAATAAGTGGCAAAGGACAAAAACATGATAGAAAATAATATCGACTCAGCAGGAACAAATGCTGACTGGTGCTCAAATCTGCCGAAGCAACACTCCTCTGTCTGACCTTTACTTGCTCCCTCCGGTATTATGCTAGCATGGATTTTCCATACTGCATTCCAGACAGGAAATGGTCATCACTGGCAGAGGAATCATCGTATTACTGCCCAGCTCAGGATATATCGGACTTCTTCTTCTTGACATTCATGATTCGCCCTGCTGCCGCCACAGCCTGATCTCATTGTGTGACGTCACTCCTTCCTCTTTGGCCCAGGTTTAAACAAGCTGATCGAATAATTACATTAGGAACAGTCTCAGTATGGGAATAAGATTTAATAGAGAAGAAAACTGGAGGAGGACAATGTCTTTAGAAAATTTAGCTAAAATGTATTTTTTATTTTTACTTTTTGTCCCAAAGTCACTGACTTAGGTCAGCCTCTGGAGTCCACATAGAACGATCTGTAGGGAGGTTCCTGCTCTTTAGGTTCATCATGTGAATCCTGTAACAAATTTCCTCATGGAAAATTAAATGATGTCAGCCAAGATATCAGAGAGAGAACTGCAGAACTCTACAAGTCTGCAGGTTCAATTTCCAGATCTGTTGAGATCATTTTGTAGTGCTGTGAAAAATTAGTTGCCTGCTACAGATTTCTTATGTTTTCAAATTTTTTTCACACTTGCATGTTTCAAATTATCAAATACATTTTAGCATCAGACAAAAATAACCTAAGCACAGTGAGTGCATTTAATCATATTTTAGGATTTTTTTTTGTGACATTTTTGATGCTCAATGAAAAAAATTTAAAAAATTGCAAATTTATGGGTTTCCGACAAAAGTGAAAAGAACTTCGTTGTTGATCTGATAAATCAAAATTCTCATTGTGATGATGGTTTTTTTTCTCATGATAAGTGATGCGATAAATTCCCACCCTAGATAAAAGAACGTTGTATGAAAATATAGCGGCAACATTTTCAGAAATGAGTCACAAAGATAAAGCTTGTGCTCAAATAGTTGCAAAATCATTTAAGATTTTTTTAAAAATCAGCGTTTTGGAGAGGCCATGATTTCAGCATAGTTGGAAATTTGTGAGCACAGAAGTGTGTGTGTGTGTGTGGGGGGGGGGGGTGTGTGTGTGAGAGAGAGAGAGAGAGAGAGTGTGAGGGTGTTTACTCGACAGAAGTGTGAAGAGGAATGGACAAAAATTCCAGCTGTTGTGGAATTTTTATCGAAGGATACTAAAAAACATTTGGCACAGGTGTTGAAGTCTAAAGGTTATCCTAACAAATATATTTATTTACATTTCTTGCATTTACAGTCTTGCATTTATCTAATAGAAACGTTTAGGGCTTTTCCGGACCTAAAACCAGAAAAAGAGTCAGACTTAATGTCAGAATGTTTGTATACAGCGTACATATGTTTATGTCTGGTTTCAACTCTTTAGCATTTACACAATACCCCACTCATGCACACTAAAATATTTTTCTGTATGTCTTCTTATTAGGTGGGCAAGTCCCAGATCTTCTTGGTCAGTCCAGACACTAAGAAAGTTGCCATAGAAAAGAGTTTCCGAGAAATCTCATTTTGCTCTCAGGTAAGAAGCGCAGCGTTTTTACCCAGATGTGTCTCATTGGGTCTGTGTTTCATTTGAAACAAGTTTTGCTTCCATCTCTTTCCAGGGAATTCGTCATGTCGATCACTTTGGCTTCATTTGCAGAGAAACGGCAGAAGGCGGAAGCTGCCATTTTGTGTGCTATGTCTTCCAGTGCACTGATGAATCATTGGTAAAGAAGTCTTTATTTAGATCCTTCATTTCTGCTTTCTAACACAAAAAATCAATCGCCTCTAATAATGTATCTTCTTTAGTTAGTTATGCAGTGACACATCATTCATGGTTTCAAATAATGTTGTAAACTATAGTGTTACACATTATCTGCACTGTATTTATTTTAATTTAACTTTTTTTAGGCTAATTTCTGGTGGGGGGGCGGCAGGGGGTTTCTGTTCGTATCAACAAAACTCAGGCGATCTTCTGTTTCCAGAAGTGAATTGATTGAACACAATTATACTTTAATCATTTGTCAAACGTATGAAAGAGTGGTATAAAGGTCCACTGTGTTGCTGTTGTAGGTGGATGAGATCATGTTGACTTTGAAGCAGGCGTTCTCTGTGGCTGCCCTACAGCAGAACGCAAAGACCCAGAGCCAGCAGTGTGACAGCTGCCCCATTCAGCAGCTCCACAGGCTGTGTGAGAGAATAGAAGGTAGCAATTATGTATTTAAGCAACACCTTCAATTATATTTGATAGATACAAACCATGACGAACCAAACATGTCAAATGCACAACAAATCTGAAATAAAACGACTCTTTCTCATATTGTCTGTTTGTTCTTTTGCAGGTTTGCACCCTTCCAAAACAAAGCTAGAGCTTCAGAAGCACTTGGCCACTTTAGACAACGATGAGCAGGCTTCAGTCTTTGAAAACACTATGGTAAGGTGTCTGTGAATCTGAAGGACATGTTGTAGCGAGAACACAAACCAGCCGGTCGGCAAGTTGTTTATCATGACTCAATCAGAGTTTCCTCCTTTGAGGTTACACAGGCACACATATCATACATTATCAAAATATTTCAGCCAACCAGAGCTGCATGCTCACTCAGTTGGTTTATGCTTTTAACTGAACACACAAGATTGTTTCAACATAATTTGTAGTCTTTCCTATGATTATGCCACATGTTGAGCTGTAGCAACAAGACAGGTTATAAGAGTTCACCAGTAGAGAAACGGGATCCTCATTTCTCTGTAGCACAGCTGACATCTGCTGGTGATCTGGCTGAACTACATCAAGAAGTGCTCAGTGGGATTGATGCGTTATAGAGGAGCAGAAGTATTCATACCAATTTGACTGTTTACACAATAAAACCACACAATGTAGTGTTATGGACCAACACAAAGTGGTGCATAATTGTGAAATGGAAGAGAAGTTTTTTTCAGTGATATATTACACTGATTTGTTATCGACCACAACGAATCAAGACGTTTTAGATTCTCATTTAGGTCTGTTCATTTTAAAATGTGAAGATGAATATTGTAATATTGTAGCTCTGGCTGTTTGCTTCGTGCTGCAAGGTGAAGCCAACCAGTGGTGGTTGGCAAAAGGTTGCAATCCTCTTGCAACCTCTTAGAAATTAACCGGATATTTTCCCTATTTTTGAAATGGTGACCAAAAAATCTGAAGGCCATTTGTCATTTTGACAAATTACAATTCACAAACCAGACCACTTGGACATTTTCAACTTTGTACATATAGTTAATTGCATATTTAACTAAATCAATCAGGAAAAAAATCCCACTTGGCCATTATCTCCGAACTGGACACCTTATTCAATCGTGCCAATATCCAGGAGCCGACAGCGTGTTGAAGAGTTATGGGTCACAGTTCGGTGCAGCTGGACCACAAACGCACAAGCAGAACATGCAGCAGGATTTTCCTCCCTCTGAAGCGAGTGCTTGTGGGATCAAGCTCCTCGTTCAAAGAATCTTGCCGTCGTCTGATTATTTCACTTGGAGAAATATTCCCTGATTTCAAAACTTTGCCTGAAGTGGCGCTTGTAATTCCAGTCTCCGGTGTGGCAGCCAAGTGCTGGTTCAGCCTCCAAAGCAAAAGTCCAAAATTTCAGGACAGTAGCCTTTGCAGCAACCCAAGTTTTTCCATTTTTCATCGGTAGACTGAACAGTGCTTTTTAAGACATGTAACGCTTGGAGGAGTCCTTTTAGACTCCTCCAATTTAAACTGATCCCTAACCTATCTGTTGTGTTTCTTGTTCATGATGCTGCTTGTTCACTAATGTTCTCTAGGAATCGTCTAAGACTTTACAGAAAACCTGGATTTATTCTGATGTTAAATGACTTCTGAAGTCAAGTCTTTATCCTGGATTTTATGTTGAGATATGAGAGCAGAGAGTTCTGAATGCTTTAACCTCTTGGAACTGTGCATCATTTTCTGGGTGCTTCACAGTTATGCATTATTTTGTGCTGTATGCCATATAACATCTCCAATAGGATACAGAAATCTGTGTTTGTAATGTGATAATGTGAGGTTTAAATATCCGTAAACATTGTAGTTTTGCTGGGGACCAAAAATAGAGAAAACACTCATCCATCTTGTATTCCTGCTTGTCAAGCAGAAATGGTTTTCAGTCAGAATTGCCAAATAAACCACATGTTCTTGGTTAGCATGGAGCTTCTATCTTAGTATCAGTTACATGGTGATCATGTAAATATGCAACAAAAAAACAGACTATTGCTTTAATCATCTCTTGCAAACCAAGCTTAAGGAAAAAAGGAAATGAATCCTGTTTTGATTTATGTTCTCCCCATAACAATGTCCTTGAATGTTCAGTGTTTTATTCCTGCTGTTTTACTCAGATTAAAAAAAAACCCTGTTTGTATGTCTAAACTAAATACTTCCTATAGTTTATAAAACATTACTCTACGTAACTTTACATCTGCATTTTCCTCTGCAGCGGGCTCGTCCTAAGAGCGATCAGGAAGAAAATGAACTAGTGATGGCCTCCCTAAGGAATATGTATGAGGAGAAACAGAAAACTCACCAGCACTCTTCTCTTGACAACAGCAAACAGGTACAGCCTGCAAGCCTCCAAATTCATTTTCCTGATGTTGGGAGCAGCATTTTGGATTGGCACAGTCCTAATTTGGACCTTCCTATTTTAACTGACCATGATGCAAGTTTTTTTTTTTTTTTTTTTTTCTGGTCCATGTTTGTTTGATCCGTGCTGTGTGTGCAGGTCTCTGAAGATGCAACTCCTGCACCTCAGGAGACACAACAGCAGAGCAGCAGTCGGCAGCGGCTGGAGCAGTTCAAGTCCAGAGCGAAGCGCTCTCTTACCGAGTCCTTAGAAGGCATCTGGAAGGTACTGGATTATATTCTGCTTCATTTTGAAGGCTGTTTTGGACAAGTGTGCACTTTCAGTATTTTCTTTCCTTTCAAATAATACACTTTAAGCTATAAACATGACCCTTTATTTCCATATATAAATGCGCTTTCACCATTTTAATAAACTTTAAAATAAAATTTATCAAAACTAGAAACAACCTCAGAGAAACGTGGAAATCTTCATTGACCAGGAAATGCCTGATTGGTACAATTTTTCTTCCCATCTTTGAAGCTAATCCAGAGTTTTGAAATAAATCTAAAGTGATGTTTGATCTTGTGATCGTTCTTGTATATGTCTTATATATTCTTGTAAATGAGTGCATTAATTCATAATACGCCTTCAGAGATTCATATTCAGGTGTGAACTGATGAACGTAGTGAAAGTAATGTCTAGAACGTCTCATTTATGGTTTTTGTAGGGAAGCAATAAGGCCAAACCTCAGAGGGAGAGCAGTCAGGGAAGTGAGAGCAGCTCTTCTTCTGGTGCTGTCAGCAGAGGTCAGCCGTGCTTCGAGGACCCCCTACGACCCACCAGCCCACTCAGGTAAACCCACATGAAGGCTACAGTTTGGTCATTTGTGATGTTTAATGCATTTTGCTCATATGCGTGAACTAACTTCTATTTGCTACTTGGTGATTATCTTAAACAGTTTTTTAGCTTTCATATGCTTACTGTCTTTCCTTGTTTTCTCCTCAGAGGCCACAACTCCGCTGGAGACTTGAAGCTTCTTGACTCGTCTATTCCTCTGTCTTCGTCGTCCTCCTCTCTACCTGATAATCCCGAGCCGCAGGGCTTCCGCCGGCGGGCCAGCACCTTCAGTCATTCCCCCTCCCCGTCCTCAGTGCTCGAGGACTCCCCCCTATACATGCAGACTCATTCGCCTCAGGAACTGAGTGCAGCGACGAAGCCCAAGCTTGTACGACACTACTCTGTGAGCACAGACAACCCTCACCAAAGCAAGTAAGAAGCTCATGTTTTTATATAAAAACCATAAATTTGTGTAAAGGAAACTTAAAAAAGGCGCCAAGCTTTAAAGATGACCATAAACTGGTATTAGCCAGGAAAAACCTGAACAACCAAGGTGAGCGTTGCAAAACCAGCTGGCTAAGTTATGCATCAATCTGTCCGTTTAGTTTTGTTTCGGTTTCATTTTACTATTGTTCAGAAGTAGGCTAAGCAGAGATTGAAACTTATTTGGAATTTGTTCAGCCAACCAGACTTGTTCTCCAGCATTGTTTTGGTTTATCTGCAAACTGTGCCAAAGTAATTTTAATGACCTGAGGTTTAACAACAACAATTAGATTTTTGATATTAAAGTGGGATAATTAAGTGTTCAATATATCTCCAAGTTTCCTCTTTTCTAAGAATGAAGAGGTCTGTAATTTTCTTTGTAGGTACTCCTCAGCTGTGAGATACAAAAACTAATAAAAAAAAATCAGAAAAACAAATTGAATGACTTGTAAAGGGTGCGTCAAATATTTATGTTCCCCACTGTATCTGAATATAGGGCAGGCATAACATGACCTCTTGACTTTAGTCATCAGCTGCACCTTTTTTCCCCTGAAACTGCTGCAAACTCATTTCCTGCTTTCTTTTTTACTTGTAAAACCTGCTTGAAGATGTATCACACTAACTGCACAACATTCTCCTCTTTCTTTTTTTTTCCTGTGGTGTATAGTTAATGGGTCACGGCTTCCTAGTCCTGCAGAGCAGGAAGTTTCTAGGTTCACACTCAAAACTGTTAAAATGTTCTCAGTTAACATATCTTTACCGGGACAGTAATTAGTGTAAAACCTGGCTTGAAGTTAGTACACTACAATTTAGTAACAATGTTGATAAATTAACTTGGTTACTAAATTAGTTACTTAGTTAATAAATTGCGAAACTGAAAATTTCAGTTTATAATATTTTACTAGCAGAACGTCATTAGATTACTTATTTGGTATATTTAGATGTTTTCAGTTCTGACAAAAAAAAAATTCAGATTTTTAATATGAATTACCTAAAGAACAAAAAACTATTTGACATGCAGTTCATTGTATTCTGATGTTTTATGAATTACAAGCTAATTTCTAAAACTGAAGTATATTTGCTGTAAAAGTTAATCACCATTATACTTCAGCTATAATATGTTTGAGGTTTGTATATTGGCAGTACAGTTTAAATATATTTTAAATAAATTGTAGTATATAATTTTTTTAAGTATCTTGCGTCATATTTTTATTTCCTAACAATCTTTGAACTTGATGACCAGACTGTTTAAGTTACAACACATTTTTCAACGTTGGAAATCATCTTGATGTATTCTATGAAATGGGATTATCCTAAACGTTTGATTACTTATTCTTACTTGCATAAATATTAAAACAAACTGTTAGGTTTGAAATGCTTCATATCATCTTCCTTTTTCCAAATTCTACAATTTTTTTTCTGTTAAGTTAATAGGCCCAAAGTCTATGACTCTCTTCTGTTTTATTCCTTCTTTATTTGCACCAATTTTCAGAAATCTCCCAACCGACTCCACCCTTCCTCCTCTTCCTCCCTTTCCTTCATGCCATTCTCCTCTCCTTCTCCATCATCCTTCTTCACCTTCTGCTGGAGCCCGTTTCAATAAGAGAAGGTGAGAGTGTGGTTTTCAGTTTACCTCTCTGCAGTGTCATTTCATTAACTGTTTCTTTATACGATTTCATGCAACATATCTTTGTGTGAAATGGGTCCATGTTTTCTTTTTCTCATCTGTGTTTTGCCTCCCATTCCATCACCGCCATCTCAGCCCTCTGGGTGGTCTCCGTGCCCGTCTGCACTCCTCCTCCTCTGTCCCTAACTTTCTGAAATTTCAATTTCTGGCTCCTGTCCAAGAGAACGATTGTCCCGAGCCAAAAAGCAGGTACACATGTGCACAGAGTCATCATATCTATGTGGGTGTACCAAGATCTCCATGAATCCCTTCTCCTGTATAACTCATATATGTGTAAACCGTAATGTTTTGTCCCGTCTTACGTAATGACGGCTTATGTTTCCATCTGTAACCACACTTGTGTGTTTGTTCTTTCAGGGATGTTGCAGCTCTCTCTACATCGAGAGCAGCTTGTGTGGCGGGTGAAAGTCCACTGCGAAACCACAGACACTCGTGGAGGCAGCAGATCTTCCTGCGGGTTGCTACTCCTCAGAAAGGCACAGACCCCACTGGTAGGAACTCGCAATATTTAATAAATGGTTCTCTTTTTTTCCAATGTAGTTTGCTTATCTTCATGATGTAGACAGTATTTTCTCATTTCTCTTATTGTACAAGTTGTAACATCAACTCGTTTTCAGTCTAAAAATGTTAACCAAAATGGTAGGAGAAAGAAGAAGCACGTGCAGGCTGCAGTGACAAGACGTTTCCACTCTGTGTCGCCCTTTTGTTTAAATTAACCAAGGTTTTTTTTTTTTTTCTCCATCTTCACCGGAGAAAAACCAGAGACTTTTTTTGTACTACACAAAATCCTCCATGAGATGTTAAATGCGCAGGTGATATTTTTTACACTATTGTAAGGTAACACATTAAGACACTTTATGGAACCAGAATAGCTCAGAGCAATTATCTGCTCGTACATAGACGCAACCTGCTGAAGTTTCAGAACCAAATTTCCTTATCGACTATAAGCAAATGATAGCTTTAAATCATCATTACTGAAACGGGCACGAATCGCACCTCCTCAACTGTTTCTGAAACTTTTTCACTTCTGCAAGTTTAGTGTCCCATTTTTTTTTTTTTTTTTTTTTTTTTTTTTTTTTTTTTTTTTAAAAAAAAAAAAAAAAAAAAAAAAAATATAAAAAAAAAAGCAGAAATTTTTATTTT